TTTAAAACTTTCACTAACTAGGTATTAATTAATTAATAAAATCTGCAATGAAGTCTACGGGGTAAAGTATTTTTTTTGCAAATAAAAATTCAAATAAGAATATCATTAAATACTGTGATGGAAAGATGCATTGAAATATTAGAAACAGAATGAAAATTTTAAATAAATTTTTGCCTGCAGAAGTTTAAATTTTTATTATTATTTTTAATTAGAAAAAGATGGATATAACTCTTACGAAAATTCAAGGTCATAAATTAAGACACATCCCACCTTCAATGCTAATAGTAATAAATGGGATTTGTGTCCAAATATACAAAGTATTCAACACCTACACATCTGTTATGTATTCAATTTCATTGAATCTGTTGCTATTAGGGATTGAATACCTTAAAAATTCAATCTCTCAAATTGATGTCTTTAACAGATTTTTCTAGGTTCTTTCTCTTCCTTGTTTTGCTTAGCAATAGAAGATTCATTGTTGATCTTGTTGACTTCGTTTATTTGTCTCTGTTTAATATCAGCATATAAATACAATGGATGAAGTAAACATAGATTCGTCTTCAAGTCGACGATTATTTATCGATAATGTATTACGAATTTGTCAAACACATTTGTTACTTTTATTCGTATGTCTTTTCGACATATCCCAGTGAACGTAAAGAAAAAAACACCACAGAGTTTAAATCACCAGAGTTTAAATTTCTATGGACGAGTTAAACATGGTAATTTTATCTCTCATTATTTTGTAGTGATATCCCGCTATCATTTTACGTTTACATCTCCCAGCTTATTCAGCAGTCAAGAGCATGTTCTGAGTGCATTCAATCTATAGACCGAGTCTGGTTACTGACAAGTAAGTTGGTGATATAGGGATTTCAACAACTTTGCATATAAAATACGCCCATATAATGTCAAACTTCTGTTAAAGAAATGATATCACTGTTTTATCAGTCTTCAGTCTTGTAATCAAAAGGATTCAGATTCCTTGTCTTTCTTTACAAAAATTGAAGTACATAATTATAAAAATTAAAAATAATAAATTTTTGACAAATATGTATGTTTACAAGACTTAAATATCACATCAATTTTACAGGGTATACATTTTCCCTTTTACTTAACTGAATTACCTTTTCTGAAGAATATATAGTAATCTATATGAGTATGAAAATATGAATCTAATTAATAAACACTGTATCTAGAGCTGAAGAATAGCTTAAAAACGTGAAGCTTTCATTTGTAATTGCAAAAAGACAGGAAATTGTTTTTTACAGTAAATGCGCGTTTTAGTGTGGTTGACTTTTCAAGAAGAAATCTGCCTTTGGCGCATACATGTTGGTTTGTGCAGCATGAGTGTAAACGAAAAATAGGTTCCTTTTCTTGGATTTCAGGATCTTCTTTAATATCAGGTCCAAAGTATTTATTCTACAAAAAATCCATTCATTCTTAATAATATCTTTGAAATTCTTTATCTATGGAATTTTTATAGAGTATTGTATTGTCATTCAGAACTTGCGACATCTGACATGATGAAATCTCTGTTTCCAAATGTTTACCTAAGGCGTTAAATTCTTTAAATAAAATGATAGAGATATTTTTACCTTGGCTACAATTATAATAAATACATAAAATACATTTCTTATGAACTATTATCTTAAACAATAGTCTCAAAGAGATGAATACTAGTATATGAATTTATAAGGTATTGTATGATAAGGTGCGATTAAAAACGTGTCGATCTAGTAACCTTCCCTCAGCACGTCTGACGACTCCATTTAGGCACGTTTGTTTTAAAGGGTAGTAAACTTTATTTCCACAACACATATGCTTCGATGCATTCGTCAGAACTGTGACTGTACCTAAAATAAAATGAGGTATATGTTTTTACGACTTGCCATAAAAGGACCTTGTTTCTGATATAATATAAAGCGTTGCGCAATGCCTCGACTTACCTGTTGTAAAATCAGAATGACTTCCACAGCTTATAACAACTTCTCCCTGACATATTTGTAATTCCGTTTTGTATGTCCTCTCTGTTGGCAGAAAAGTAAATATAAGAAAAATGTTCAAAAATTATATTTGCATGTTTAACATTTCTATTCAAATTACAAACACAAAATGACTGCCGTCATGAGAAAAGGGCCCTTATCTTTTGACGTCACAATGCTCAGAAAACGACGTCAAAGTCGCGGTATTGTAAACACGGAAGTAATTTTTGTTGACTGCATTTTGTAAACAAGAAATAAAATTGAATTTCAAAGTGTAACAAAAATTTGAAGTTTGATGCGGACATTTTTTTAATAGGTATATGATATGATTACAATTTAGTACGTAAATTTATTCATAATTTTGTTTAAATATTTAACTTGATGCTGATATACGGGGCATTGGACATGCACAAATTGCTAGCTCTGGCACAGCGATTAAAACGATGTCTATGCATGACGAAATTGAAGATGCTGTTTTTTGTTTTCTGGGCAATTTACAAATACTTTAATTTGAATTAATGTTAAGAAGTCTCAATATCAAAGGTATATTCCATGTACTAGACTAGTATATTTTTGTCAGAGAGAGAGAGAGAGAGAGAGAGAGAGAGAGAGAGAGAGAGAGAGAAGAGCGAGCGAGAGGTCTATGCACATATAGTAATTACCGTTTTTATAAGAGCAACTTTTTCCCTGAAAATATATGTTTTACCATAATGTAATAATGTAAAACATACAGAATGTATTTAGTCATTTTAATTTTAATCCATAGTTAATTACACTGATGTACCCCGATAGCCAGCCTTCGATGAACTGTCGATTTTAATTTTTTTTAAAGGGGGGGGGAGGGGAGGGGTAAGAAGACAAGCCAAATAAAAATCTCCGGATAAAAAGACCGGTAAATGTTAAGCTAAGAAACATAATCCCTCTTTTATTAGATAAAGATACTGGTAACATGGGAGATCCAAACCTACATCAACAGTAAATAACTTACTTTTAGTTTTAATAACTTACCTTTTACTAAATTAACAGTAATAGAGAATGATAAAGAAAAAAAATACGGATGATAGGGATATCACAATTTTGTTAAATTAAATTTTGTTTCAATTACTAATCTAAAATGATCAAATAAATACATTCAAAGGAATTGTATGGTAGAAATTATTTTTGTTTCAAATTTCTGAAATTGTTCCGATGAAATGATTGAATGAAAATCAACTGGAGCCTATTTTGCAATATGTTAAGAAATTAAATACAGCTACTGTAGAGTTTTCCCAAAAGCATTATACCCAATGTTGAAGAATTGAACAATATTACATCGACAATGATAATATGAATGAGGAACCAAAAGGAAAAATAAAACTATAGATTAAGCAAAAAGACGTACGAATTTCCGGATATCATATATATGGCTACATCTCTTGAGAATACATTCACCGAAAGAGCAAAAAGTATGTAACAAATTATAATTTCAAAAAGTTATGAACATTTTTAAAATCTTTAAAAACTTTAATGAGCGTGAAATGTTATTATATAACTGACTGTTGAATTCTTGATATGAAATAAATAAACCACATTTTGCGTTGAAATCTTCAACTCTGATACATGTATCAAAATACCCCGCATATCTTGACATTAATTTCTTAAAGTTCCGTTGAAATCGAGATAAGACTTTCTATCGTAATCCTTACATGACCCAACGGAAAGTAATTAATAAAGAAACACAAATTTTTCTTCTTTTAAAGTAAATTTTGATCATTACAATCGCAGCAAGTAGCAACGGGGGTAGGGGGTGGAGTTTACATTGAAAGTTCCCCCCCCCCCTCACCACCACCACCACACACACACATACACACTCTTTGTTGTAGTATAGTCAAATTCGTGCACTATATGGCTAAAGAATAAGGCAGTGTTTTATGTTTGATTAAGAAAATTTGATACTAAAAGAAGTTTGAACCTACCCACCCCCCTTTCTGCCCAACGGCGAAATTGGATTCGAGTTTCGACACACCCCCCCCTTTTTTTAAGGTAAATTTATTTATTTTTTCTGGCTGAACCATCCCCCAAATTTTTCAAAGGAGTTAGTGTGGGGACAGGCGAAGGTACGAGTCAAATGTTTTTATTTTGGGATATGTTTGGTATGTTCTAAATGTAACAACTAGGAAAAAATGGTTTGCCTAAGTAAATATTTCAGCGAAAGAGAGTCAGATTAGAGTGGTATAATATTTACTTAATTAACAGCATCGCCTCAGACAAAAAGCATTAAGGTATGTTGTATATAATAGTTCATCATTGGATACGACAATAGCATCGAAATTTTGAAAAGCTTATATCAAGTTAATTAGCCATTCACGGAGGAAAATGAATACTAAGTAGATGACCGTTCGTGGCCGTGAAAATTTTTTTCGCTTGTCAAGGAAAATTTGGTGATTGAAAGTGCCTACAAAAAAAATATAGCTTCCCCAACTGAAATGGCTTCCTAAGGGCCAGCCGTTCTTGCGTAAAAATACAGTGGACCTTCAGATATCCGGAAGCCAGATATCCGGATGTATCCGAACGATTTTTCCTCGGGACGAAAGTTTTATTAACTGGTAATTCCGGTATCCGGACGCTTCACATATCCGGGCAAATTGACTAGGAATCAAAGCATCAGGATAAATGAGGCTCCACTAAGTATACATTCAGTTTCAGTTTCAAATAGATTTCGTCTAAATTTTAATATGGAAATGTAATTTCGCACAGAAAAGTCAAGACCGTTTAGTGTAAATGTAATAAAAAGAGACAAGAACAGCACAATTGCCATCTTTTTTATTAAATTATACAATATTATACATAGATATTTTTTTGAGATCATGGAAGCGGCCCTTGTAAGAAATATACAAATGTTGTGTTCATGTGAAACAGGGTACAGGTGCCACAAAATATATTTTAAAAAAAGGTAAATGAGGAGAAATATTTGTAACCGATTTCTATTGTGATTTAATTTTTAAAAAAGTAAGAAGTTAAAAGACGGTTTAAATTTGAGGCATAAATTCAAAGAAAGTTTCAATTTTAGGAATACGGTATATAAATAATTCATTTGTCCTTTATTTGCCAATTTACTACCACGTTTCTACTCCATAACTAAGACGAAAGTGAATTGTATACACAGTGGAAACCTAGAGCTTTAAACATTTTAATTTTTAAATAAAATGTTCAAAAACGTTAAAAAAATTTAAAATCCGCTTGCATGGAAGAAGGGAACTTATATTTTTTCATGAATGTTTATAAAGCAATAAACGTTTTTAAAAACAAGTTTACATATCCTAGCGTATCTGAATTTATTTCTCAATTGAATTTTTGGTGATACAGAAAATTCATGGTGTTTTTTTTATTATAGTAACAGAAGAAAGTTACTTGCGTGTGTGATTGTGAGTGAATGCTGTCTCACAATTTTTTTTTATTATCGGGATCGATGTTCTTTTTGCGAGGGGTGCCCCTATTTGCTCGTGGTGTCCTTCTGCATGGGATTCTCTATCTATATATATATTTCTTTTAATCTTTAAGTGTTACAAGTGCTTTATATATTTTATAAATTGAATTAGATTATTTGATATAAAAAGAATGATTTTTATGGATTTAAACAAATATTATTTCCCTACCTATGTTATAAACCGTTCCTACATTCTGTCCAGACCCCCCTCCCCCTCCCTTTTACGAATTACTAGATCTGCTCTAAAATTAGCATGGAAATAGTAATAACATACGAAATCCCTCAGGAATAGTTAAATACTAGTCGTTTGGAGGAAAAAAAATAAATACTTTGAAATTCTCATATTTTGAATGCTAAAAACGATTGAGGTTATTTAAATAACACGTGATTTTAAGATTTTTTGAAAATTGAATAAGACGCAGGCGACGTCATTACGTTTTCAGTGAGTAACGTCAAAGTTATTTTTGAAGCGCCTCACTTAAATGCTCATAAAATATCGAAAAAGTGAGATATTTTCAAAATTTATGTATATTTGCATTCAGAAAGAGTCCGGCTATCAAAATTTACCAAAAAGTCAATTTGTGAAAATTTGACCTTAAGGGCCCTTTTCTCGTGACGGCAGTCAAATATTTTCTCTTCTTCTTCTTTGTAAATCAGACATTTATTTCTCCATAGTACGAAAAAATCGTTATTTTTTCCATCCTTAATCAAACGCTTTCTACTATCTATTAATTATTATGATATTCCAATCTTAAAAATTAAATAAAAAACAATCTCCGGTCTTCATACATTCTTAAGACGTATAATTTGATAAAAATTCTTTACATTAGAAGTAGAAAATGCTTGCTTCAAGTTCTTTAAATCGACATTCAGAATTACTGACGAAGTTTTATTAATTAACAACATGCAGTTCCTTCTATTCGCATGTCGTTTCGATGTACCCCAATGGTCACGGTAGCTTAGTGATAGAGCGTTTGCTTCGTGATCGGGAAGCCAGGGTCTTATTTTCGTTCGCGGCGCTGCGTCAGATCTAAGACTTAAACATACATGTAGGTAGTGGCAGTTCCTTCGCCAAGCGCTCGGCACTAGAAGCGAAAGTCACGGGTCTTTCGGATATTAACCTTAAAAACATATGTCCTGTGTCACGGTAATCGTTGGCATGATAAAGAACCCTCACTGCTCATTGTCCCTAAGTGCCGAGAATAGGTCTCAATTTTAAACCCTTCACCGGCATACGGTGACATCTCTATAATGGAATGGGACGTTAAAGCTGAACACGACTCGTAAATAGGCATACACCATTTTAATATCATTATTTACGATACATCCTCTTCGCATTCGTTACACCTGACTGATTTATTGTCACGGGTATCGGCGTGGAATGGAAACCCGTATTAGTGCTGGTTATCTTGCACTACCTTTGTTTACATTTTATTGCAAGTTTGTATACTGCACTGACCTGTGCAACTGTTGTTAATGTCTTTGGTATCTTACTTTCCTGCATTGGAAGAAGTATACAGTTATTATTGTCGAGTTTTGTATAGCATACGTCCGTGTGCATCGGTGACAGTTCC